TGTTTTTTCATAGACTCTGTTAAAAAAAAAAAAGAAAAAACAAGCCCAAAATTTAATAGGAACAAGTAATCTCAATAGTACTATTGAGCTTTAAAACCAGTCAAATTTAACAGTGACCAACTCAAAAAAGAGTTATGGATACAAAAAGAAGGACCATAAAAATATGTTGCTAATGAACATTAGTACAGTAATAATTATCTGAGCTTCAATTTATCCATGTTTAAAAATAAATGAGATTAAAAAGCGTTCCTTACTAGAGAGCAAAAGATTTAAGTCTCTGCTGGATTGTAACTGTGTTATCTTAGAAAATTTCTTGGCTCTTTCTAGGACTGTTTCTTCGTCTACACAATGTGATTACTAAGGTCTCTTCCAAATCTAACATTCTATGAACTGATGATCTTTTTAGATTTAAAAAAATTTGGAACTCTTTTCAAAAGTCTGGTCAGTGAAAGCCAGGCATGGTGGCGTACACCTTTAATCCAGCTATTTGGGAGGGAGACATGGAGGTAGAAGGACTGTGATCTAAAGCAAGCCAGGGCAACAGCTCGAGACCCTATCTGAAAAACAGCCTAAAAAGCAAAAGGACTGGGGGCATGGCTGAGGTGTACACTTGCCTAGCAAGCATTTGATGCCAAATTCAATCCCCAGGACCACCAAGAAAAAAGTTATAAATTAAGAGACAGGAATTATACAGGGTAAACATTCTCTTGTATGTTTCTTTTTATTTAAAGCCAGTTTCTCCTCCCTTCAGAAGTTTTAAGACAGTGAAAGATAATTGGCAATTTATACAAGCAAATATTCACAAGTTATTCCAGGTGGGAAACCAAAGATTGTAGTATTTATATTCAAGAATGATTCTTGTATTTTAGTTGAGACCCTGAAGAACCTGCTCAAACAGCAAGGAAATCCCTTAGTTCACACCTTAAAATGTGTGGGATTCACTGGTTCCCAGTGAGAGCTGTGTGTAATAATACAGGAAGTTCTTTTGCACATATTGTCAAAGAAAGCTAAAGGAAAATGAAGAGAAGTGGTATAGGTGGTAGGCCCTAAAATTGTTGTCTTGTAACTGTTACAATCCTCAGACCATTTCAATAAGGCAACATGCTCTGAATATTCAACTTTTTCATCTGTTATTGGTTAAAAATAGAAGGGAATCTTCTAGAGGTAAAAGATACTTATTTACTATGTGTCAAACATTGTTGCAGACTCTACTAAAAATACCTCCTCAAATTTTCATAATAAAATCCTATGAAGGTGTTTTAACCTCAAATTACTAATAAGAAAATGAGACACAAAATTAATTTGCTAAAAGTAACACAAGCTAGTAGGTGATGGAGTCAAAGTTTGAATCTAGGTCTGTCTGTCTGATTCCAAAGCTTATGCTTTTTCCATTCATGAGTGAATGACACTTCTGCTGTTTCAAGTAATCACTATTTTAACATATGTTAAAATGTGAACTCTTGTACTTCAACATGGATATTCAGATTTATGTGATAATAGCTCTGGATACATTAATCTCATTCTAAGGGGGAGGGAAATATTATGGAAAAGATCTTGAGATTTAATGCCTAGTCAGAGTGAATGTGTCTAAAAGCATTTGGGGGTGGGAGGAACAAAGGTGTAATTGCAAAAAGAAAGAGAAATGTGCATGGAAACAACCAAGTAAGTACAAATGTTAAACCAGAAAGACTCATCACTGTTCTCTGTGTTGACAAGAAGATGAAATCACAGAAAGGTGACGTCATTTAGGCAGTATCATAAAAGGTCCCGAGAAGTGGAACTAACTGCTAACTCAGCCACCAGCTGTGAAACAGAATTGGGTTGTAAAATAGCTACTTTCCTATATGTTTCTTTTCTCTTTCTCTAAAGTAAGGAGAATACTGTTCATAGGTGCTCTATTTTGTCAACCTCAAAAAGTAATTACATTTTGTATATTATGGGGTGTTAGTTTAAGTCAGGGGTGAAAACACAACAAATGCAACTGCCTACAAAACATATAACATTAGAATAAACTTTGGAAGTGTCAAGGAGAGTAAGCTTGCCTCATCTAAATGGAGTAGCTGCTCTTTTGCTCTAGCTGATTATTGCCATGAGAAAACTCAGGTCCAATATGGCAATAACATCTTGATTTTTCAGAATATCTTGGTATAGTGGCTTGTCTACTTAGGGGAAAAATTTCTAAATTAACTGGGTTTTTATGTGAACTCCTCTAATATTTAAATGTTGACAACTAAATTTACAGTTTAAGAAAGTACTCTAAGCTGGAAGTGGTGATATATACCTGTAATCCCAATGCAGAAGGATCATGAATTTGAGGCCAGTCTGAGCTATACAGCAAATTCCAAGCAGCCTGGGCTACAAAGTGAGACCCTATATCAAAGAAACAAAAATATTCCACAGGCTAACCAAACCATGCCTATTGGGCCAGTATCAGTCTAAGAGCTGCAAGTTTGTGATCTCAGATACAAGTGAAAATGTCACAGCAATTGATTTTTTACAAAGCTGTACATCCATAATTTTATTGGCTCCTCGTGATTACTATCTCTATTTTACAAATGAGGAATTTGAGATCCTTGTGCAAATACTGAGTGCTTTATACTTCAAAAAGTTCTTTTCAGCTGGGCACTGGTTGCTCACACCTGTAATCCTAGCTACTCAGGAGGCAGAGATCAGGAGAATCGAGGTTTCTTTTCATTATTATCACCTCCTCCCCTTTTCTGACTGCTGTACTAAATTCAGTGTGGTGGGTATATTCTTTTTTTCACTGACTCCCTTGTCCATATTCAGTGTTTTCTCACAATATGAATTTACCTTAGATCTTCCCGATCCTTCTGGCAGTTCCCAAGGAAGTTTCCAAACTGGCAGGAGAAAATATGGTCATGGATCTCCAGCAGGAATTTTTCATTAAACTCAAAGGCACAAGGAAACTGTTGCATTAATTGCCAAATACAGTCTAGGAACTGGGTGAAGATGGGAGACACTTCTTTAGAATCCCCATCCAGGTGGCCACACCTAAGAGACGCAAGTAAAGACAATGCTTAGCATCAAGAATTATACTGTTTGGAGTTGGCTTTAGCAAGGAAATATCTCATGCCAAAATACCAGTCAGAATCTCAAAGCTAGTTAATCTCAGTGGACCTCTTAGCCAATGGTATCCTTCCCTATTGGTCATCTAGTCTATTTTCTTTTATACCTTCTTTCCAAAGCAACTTTCTGCAATGATGAAAACATTCTATAGCTGTGTTGTCAATATGGCAGTCATTAACTATTAAGCACTTGAAATGCTGCTAGCATGACCGAGGAACTGAATTTTTAGTTATATTTAACTTAAGCTAATTTAAATTTAAATAGCCACATTTAGCTCAATGTAAACAAGGACGGCATCTAAACTGTTTACTCCACAGTGCCAGTTATTTAAGAAAAAATTTCTAATCCTCATCCCAGAACTGAATAATGTTCCCTCCCTTATAATGCCCTTTTTCAATAGGAAAATATATTTCCCTAGAAACAAACGTAGCACTCTCAACTTCTATGCTGAATGCTCTCTATCTTCTAATATTAACTGCAACTTGGCTCACCAAGGGCATGACTTCTTCTTGGGGCCCAAATGGAGAATGCTATAATTCTAAACAAGGCAAAGGTGGGATCAGCTTTTTCTTGCTCATACTGTCCTTTCTGTTGCATCCGAACTACTACTCCTTTCATATTCTTAAAAACACTTCCAGTATGGGTCATGCTGTCTAGCATATTTACCTTTCCTTTCCTAGATGCTGTCTTCTACCAACCTCTGAGTTACTTCCCACATTCTCTGAAGATTTTGATGCCTGTCTTAAGCATATACCTTGGTTGCTGATGCAGATGAACTACACTGGCTAACTAATAGGTTCCTTACCTAATTCAAATCCAATTTTCTTCACTAATCTTTACCTCTGTTCTATATTAGTCTCCTGAATCCATGCCATAGGCTGGACCACCTAGATGTTCTTACTCCATCTTTGAAATCTCAATCCCATTGTCTCACTCTGACCAGCATATATTACAGATCCAAAAGCTTTTACCTCCCCTACCAATTATCACAGGAGCTCTCCACCTGGTTCCTATTGGCTTCCCATTCTTCTTTATCCAGCCTTGACTTCATTGGTCTAATCAATTACTCTTTCCCTATTTTCTGGCCTTTCTTGTCATTGTTCTCCTCCAAAATCTAACCACAGATTAGCCTAAAAAACCCCGATGATCTCTGTTCCCATATCCTGACTGATAAATGATGCTTGAGAAAATTATAAAACCATATAAATTCACATGATTTAAAATTACATCTCTACATTGAGTTGGAACTCAACTGCTCCCAAATAATCTTTATGTCCTTAACACTATAAGGGTAATTTTCTCATTACCCTTAAAGTTCTTGCAAATTTTAACTAACTTCTCAAGCCTCAAGCCTAGTTCAGCAGCTTCTATAATTCACTACAAACAAAATGTCTAACTTGTGCTTCTGACACTTCCACAATCAGTTCATTCTCTGCCTGTCTTTCCGTAGTCTCCATGGAAGAAGTCCTCAGTGTGGCTCCAGCTAATCTTTTCATTTGGACTGGAGCTTTCACCCGTTTCTGTCTCCTCAGGAGTCTTACTCTTCCAAAAACTGTCTGTTTGAAATCTTCAGCCTTCTTCTCTAGTGTTTCTTTTTTCTTAGTACAAGAAAATGCTCAAATCTCTCCTGTCTTGAAGTACACTTTTATTCCATCTAGGCACTCCTTCACTTCAATATCCATCAGCATCACAATTCCTAGGAAAAGATTTATACACTCACATTCCACTTCCTCATTTCTCACCCACACCTCCATTCATTGTTATTTGGCTTCTGTTTCCACCACTTTACTCAACTGGTTATCACTAAGGATCATTCAATCATGCATGTTGCCAAAGTCTACTGTTGGGTTATTCTGCAGCATTTGGTACTGCTGACTACTTCATTTGAAATTCTCCTCTCTAGATTTTTTTCCTTTTGTTTCTGTAGATTTATTGTTCCCTCTTAACAACTCTTTCACAATTATCTTCAATGGATTCCTTTTTTCACTGAACTTTCAGGTGTCAATGTTATCCAAGGTTTTTCCCTGTCCTTTGGCTCTTCTTTCTCTACAGACACTTTGAGTGGTCTTATCCAAATGTATGGCTTAAGCTACCACTTACATGTAGATAACTCTTAAACCTCTAATCCTATCAATACATAACTAGTGACCTAATTTCCTCACTGGACATCTCCTTTTGGATGCCCCTTGCCACGTAAGTCCCAAACTGGAACTATCTTTCCTGCCATATCTGCCTTGCATCATTCTGCATTCTCAATTTCAGTAAATCCAGTTACCTAAAGCAAAGACAAGTTCTACTAGGCAAGTACTACAAGTTCTACTAGAGTTTTACCTCTCATTTTCTGGTTCTGTCATTTCTCCTTCTCAAATAACTTTGTATCTATCCCATTGCCTCCATCATTTTTCAAACACTCATAAATTCTGATAGCCTTCTGATTGCCTCCAATCTCAATCTCCCACATGATATCACAGGGATATTTCTAAAATATAAGCCTAATCATATCACTACCCTGGTTCAAAGTCCTCTAATATAGCTTTACTATGTATATAAGAACATTCAAATCTTCTAGCTTAAAAAAAGAGAAAACAGAAAAAAATCAGAACCTTGAATGACCTTCGCCTTGTTTGCTTTCCTTCCCTGGACTCATTTCCTCTGTTATCCCTATATACCCTATGATCCAGCCACAATGAATTGCTTTCAGTTCCTCAACTACATCATCATGTTTAATGCCTTTTTGGTTTCACACACATAATTTCTGGAATGTTTTCCCCCTTTCTAAATAATTCCTACTCATACTGTAAAGCTCAGTGAAGTTGTGACCTATTGTAGGATGCCTTCTTTGCCCTCTGTTTATGTTTTCTTCTTCTTAGCACTTATCATACTATGCTGTCATTACTGACTTTTTCAAAGAAGGGATGGTGCCACTATCTGTCTCAATTCAATCTCCTCAACATTTAACAAATCAGCCCAATGTTTGCTGATGAAGCAAGAATGAGTGGTCAGACCCAAATAACAAACAATGATAACTGAATGAAAATAATAAGTGGATGCACATCAATGGGGGAGAATTAAGACCTGAACTGTAACTTCTTTGAAATTAAAACTCACATTTTATTTGTCTTTGGGACTTAGTGTCTGATTTGGTATAAGGCATATTGCTAGGTATTTGGCAAATATTTATTGATTTGATAACACAGTTAAAACCTTAGTAAGGCTGTTTATACCAGAAAATAGGTAATGGTAGCCTTTGCCCCAGTCCTCATTAAGGAATAGAAATCTGCACCTGTCTTTTTTCTTACAAAAGGTTAAAACGTACATTATGTTAGATACTAGTCCCTCTCCCTAACTGCCCTCCTCCATCCCACTGTTTTACCTATCAAACTCCTATTCAGCTCTAAAAATTTACCCTTAAATGCTGCTTACTCTTTGAAGTCTACCCTGACTTCTTTATGCGAAGTTAAGCAATTCTCTCTCTGTGGCCCATTATAACTTTTCTTTCCTCAAATATTTAACAATTTGATATGATTACTTGCATTCCTTCGAAGTAAAGGTGCTATTCTGATCACCTTTGTAGCCTTAGCACCCTAAAATACTTATTTCTTGATGGAAAAAAATTTAAGGCCATGTCCAACTTCCTGTTACTTCCTATGCACAAAAAACTTGGATTTTAATAAACCTTACCTGAATGAAATCTCCTCAGGCCCCTCTTTCAAAATGAGGATATTTTTACCTTTGGGAGAACTTGTGGCCCATAGATATCCATTCCTTTTCTATTAGGATCTTCATTTTTAAATAAAAAAGATGAGTTTGCATTAGGAGTGTCATAGAATGAATTAACCACACACATATGAATATCAAAGCACTATGCAAAAATGGTTGAATTGATAATAAGTTTCCCAAGTGATAACAAAGTAAGCAACCTGGATATCAATTATAGACTTGTACAGGCTGCCATCAAACTTCATATGCTCTCAGGAGAAATTATTCTGGATTTGTATTTAGTGTCTCATTTCTTTTGGCTTTTACATGATACATGACAAGCTTTGGAGCCATAACTAAATGCAATGTTGATAATCATATTAAATCCAAACTCTGAAAAACAGAAATTCAAAGGCAGCATTTGAGCTCATACCAAGAACAAAACCATTTTCAACCATAAAAAAAATTCCAAAGAAATAAGGATAAGCTTTTATTTGGGGTTCTGTTTCTTAAAAATACCAACTAAGAGGCTTTGATTTAGCACTAGAAAAAAAATCATGAGTCTGACATTCTCACAGATGACATGTTAAAGATCAGGTAGCCTATTTAACTTTCCTCCATTCACCTTTGCAAACTTTCTGAGCCTTTCTTACCTCTCACAGCAGCCTATTACATAAAGCTTACCTTCTGATAGGTAATAAAGTATGTTAAATGTACCATAGGAAGTATACAGACTATAGATGCTTTGTTTAATAGAAAGGAGCTATATTGGAAAACAGCTGTTTTGTAGCTGTAACAAGTTGGTTTAGAGTTCTTTTTGATTTATTCATAATCTGTCTCCCATACAAAGTAAAATATAATCACTTGCTCTCTTACCATGAGTCCTTTGAATGTCCTATAAAATGGGTCTAGGAGGATGCTTGCCACTGAGCAGACTTGTGCAGTGCGGTCCCACCCATCAGAACAGTGAACTAACACATTGGCCTTTTCTACCTTCACTGCCTGTGAAGACAAGAGGCAAAAGGTACTACAAGTAACATTTACACAGAATTCTGGGTTAATAAATAGGGTTGCCACATAATATCCTTATAGCACAGAGAACCTAGTCTTATTGGGCTACATTAATTTCTTCTCATAACATCAGAACTCTCTATGGGTAATGAAAACAAAAATAATGGGGTGCAAGAGGAGATAGTTTCTAGAAGGAAAAGAAAATCAAAACCAACCCATGATGTGGGACAAAAAGAAAAACAAGGGGAAGTTCTAAATTCACAGAACTTCTGAAAGAGAAAAGGATCAAGTCTCGAATGGAGTGGGTAGGAGGAGAAATTCATGCTCAAAAACACAGGAGAGTTTTGCATTCTAGTCTGAGATCTGAAAATGATTCCCTTTAGCCATCTAGTCTTTTTTTTTTTTTTTTGTGGAACTCAGGGCCTACACCTTGAACCACTCTACCAGGCCTTTTTTGTGAATGGATTTTTCGAAATAGGGTCTCATGGAACTATTTGCTCAGGCTGGCTTCAAACCACGATCCTCCTGATCTCTGCCTCCTGAGTAGCTAGGATTACAGGTGTGAGCCACTGCTGCCCAGCTAGCCATCTAGTCTTACTAACACAAATCCTTCCGACTTAAGATGGAGGGATTTGCCTGTCTTAGGTTGGTTTCTGTACAATCAGAACAATGTAACAATTTGGGCAACTATTCAACTAGGGTGGTTTTGGCAAGGTAAATATTGATCTTTCACTTATTCATTCTAACACTTAAGTGTATACCCCTATGTGCTACGTATGTGATGGTTATCTCTAGATACAAAGACAAGAATTCAGTTTCTGCCTTTGAATAGTCCATAACCTAGTCAGGGTGGACAAAGGTAAATAAGTAATTACAATACTGTTTCTATAGAGTAATGTATAGTAGCAAGAGCCAGGGAAGATTGGGCCTTGATGAAAGAATAAGACTATCAGGTAAGGCAGGACAAGAATTCCCTTCCGTCGTTCCTTCCTTCTTCCTTCCCTCCCTCCCTCTCGCACTCTCTCCCTTCCTTCAGCATTAATTGCTGAGTGAGTACAATGCACTAGAAACATAAAACAAATGACTACAAACTGATAGTAAATAAAACAATAAAATTCCATGCCAGATACAACAATAACACAAAAGATTAGCAAAGAGGAAAAGACAATTAGGGAAGGCTCCTTCCAAGAATGCTCTAAGAAAACAGGGTGCTACAGTTTGGATTTAAAGTGTTCCCCAAGGCCCATATTTTGAAGTCTTGGTCCCTAGCCTGTGGCACAACTGTGAGGAAAGGCCTAGTGAAAGGAAGTTTGGTCATTTGGGGGTATGTCATTGAACGAGATATTGGGATGCTGAACCCCTGCAATCTCCATCTCTTTGATTCCTAGCTGCCATGAGTTAAGAATCTTGCTCTGGCATACACTCCCATAATCATGTGCTGCCTTACCCCAGACCCCAAAACAATGGACCAACCAACCACAGACTGAAACCTCTGAAACTGTGAGCCTAAAGAGGTTAATTTCAAGTATTTTACTACAGTGAAAGAAAGCTAACACAGAGGGTGATACTTAGAAGAAGATAATAAAAATTAAAATTTTTCATTAGAGACAGAAAAATATCTGAGCATCTGTAGGTTGAAGCTAGTCAAAAAGAATAGGTTGAAAATTTAGCAGAAACAAGGATTAATTGATAGAGTTGGTTCCTTGAAGAAGTAGGAGAAGATGGGATTTGGAATATAGGTAGAGGGTATAGTCTTTCATAGAAGATGGGACAGCATGTCCTCTGTGATAGCAAAGATGAAGACATAAGAATTTGACAAAGATAATAGTGAGAAGATGAAGTATCATCTTAATTTTTCCATGAAGCAGGAGACAGGTTTGAATATGTGCTTATAGAAGGAGGAATAACAGTAGTATAGCTAGTTTGAAAGCAAGGCACAGATTAGGAATATCTGCTTGGTGGAACAGGACAGAGACCCAACACAGGACACATAAAATAACTGCTAAGTGGCCCTAAGACTCCAGGACTTTAGCTAAGATTATAGACCATCAACCTGTTATAGTACAATTGACATGAGTATGGGATTTATTTCTTTGCAGAAATGCTGTGTGGTCAGGGTGTAAAAGCAGAAAATGACTGTGGTTAACAGGGCAGGTAGGGTTATGAAAGGATAAGGTGCAAGGTAGAACAGATAAGTTTCTACACCACTAAGTCTTAGTAAACAAGGAAGAAGGTACAAAAAGAGGAGTTAAAACTGTACAGGTCTCCATGAGATTGCCGAACCATGCTAGCTAAAATAAGAGTGTGAGAGCTGGAGTATAAAAACTCAAACAACTATAAGTGCCCAAAAGGTTGGACATGGATCTTCAAATCTCCTGAGATGAGAAGAATCAAGATGAAAAAGAAGGTGGCAATTCCCGAAGTAATGGAGGAGTGATAAAGCTAAATGAAATAGACCAGAAAGGAGGAAAGAGCTTTGCAAAGAGCAAGGAGAACTCTGGGTCATGTGTTTTATGGGGTGTGGAAGAAAAGTAATTTCTGTAGTATCAATGCAAGAAAAATGGAAATCCCAGAGGGTAGTCAGATTGCAGGTAAAAAAGAAATTAAAGAGATACAGAAAAGGTTTTTCAACCTTTTTAAAAATTTTTCAATTCAGCTAGAGGCCTGATGGTAGCAAGTGTACTCTATTTAGAGAACCAAATAGCATGAAAAGTTGATGGGAAAAGACATCAAATTCATTAATGATTAAAGAAGCACAAATTAAAACATGATGTAAAATTTATCACCAATTGCCCTAACAAAGACTAAAAAGATTGATGATAACCATTACTGGCAATGTGGAAAAATAGGCATGGTTGGGGGAAATGTAAACTACTACAAGCTATTTAGAGGGCAATTTGGTCCCATCTATTAAAATGTGAAATATTCATACCCTGTGACTCAGAAAATCCACTTTTCTGAGTCACTTTGCTGGGAGGGAGGACATGGCTCAAGCACAAGGCCCTGAGTTCAACCCTCAGTACTAAAAAAATATGCATACATCTACACATATAAAGATAAGTTTATTTGGTGCAGTAATGTCTGTATTATTTTTAAAAACAACTGGGAAAAACTGAATTTTCCCATCAACAAGGACTACGGTGACTTCCCACAATAGAATATTATATAATTGCTGAAAAGAATGAGATAGTACTCACTGAACCGAACTAAAAAATATTCACTATACACGAAGAATAAGACAGTTACAAAAGAATATGCACAGTACAATCCTACATATATATATATATATATATATGTATTTTTACAAATTATACACGCAAGTATATGCTGAAAAACTCTGGAGCTGTGCTATCCAATATGGTAGTTACTAGCCACATTTCAAGTACTCAATTGTCATATGTGGATAGTAGCTGTTGTGTTAGAGTACAGACATAAAACATTCACATCATCATAGAAATTTAAAATGAACAGTACTGATCAAGAAGCATAAACATTAAACTATTAATAGTAATATATATGTGTTGTGAAACAATAAATGTTTAAATTTTATGCTATATATTTCTGAAACGTTTACTTCTTTGATTATTTCCATGTATTGTTAATGTAATGAGAAAAAATAAAGATTTAAAAAAGAGAAAGGAAAAGTTAGCATAGTGCATTAGAAAATAGCAAGAAGTCTGCTATGGCCAAGTTGGGGCAAGACTGTGGAAGACTGAATATCAAACAACAGGGTTTTATTGGAAATTGAATAGGGGAACCACTGGAAGATTTTCAAGCTTCAAATGACAGCATATCAAGATATATTAGAAAAATGACTTTTCAGGCAATTTGATCACCAAACTGGGGAGAGACTACTACAGAGAAAAGTAAAGTAGTAAGAAAGGTTTTTTTTTTTAAGTGGTACTAGGGGTTGAACTCAGGACTTCATGCTTGCTAGGCAGGTTCTCTCCCATTTGATCTATGCCAGCTCTTTACGATCCTCCTATTTGTGTTTCCCTGTGTAGCTAGGATGACAGGTATGCACTACCATGCCAAGTCACTGGTTGAGATGGGGTCTTGTAAACTTTTGCTTGGGCTGGTCTCAAACCATGATCTTCCCAATCTCTGCCTCCCAAGTACTTGGGCCAACCTTAGGAAGTTATTATAGTACTTTGGGAAGGAACAGCAACTATCTTAATTAGGTAAGGAGCAACAGAGACTGGGAAGAAAGGATAGATTTGAAAAACGCTTTTGAAGTAGAATCAATAGGACTAGGGAAACAAAAAGCATTAACACTAGACATTTAAGACAGCTAATTACACATATTCCCTTCAAACCATTTAAGCCCAAAGCTATTGTTTTCAACAGAAAATGAAAGCAGAAGGATGAAAAGTCATTTTTCTCCTTTTCTTTATTTCTATCAAAAATGAAGATGGAGTGAAGAGTTTCTATGTAGGAATATATAAAAACAAAACTTCAACATGAGAAAATGAATATTCTAAATTTCCTTTTCTTAAAAAAAATCACACAACAAATGGAACAGAGGCAGGGTTTAGAGGTTAGAAAATAAGTGGTTCAGCATAAATGTAGGGTAATAAAGCCTACATAGATGCGGTGAGAGGCAGACCTATAAAAAGAAGTCATAAAAATTATCTGCTCTGTACTCAGAGCCCCAAATATCCATAGACACACAAGATTTAAATTTATTTCATATCCACTCTTGCTTTCAGCTGATACCTTAGAATCAATACACAAAAAATTAGTAATTGAGCTGCATCAATTACTTATGCGTTTTTAAACTGAGGTCCCAGGTCTGTTGACCCCCTGAAATTGAGGTCCATTTTCTATAGTATACTTACATGTGCATTTTCCAGTGAGAAGAGGATTAATCATATTCCAAAAGAGTTCTGTGCTCCCCCCCCTGAAAACTACAGTGGATTACAGTCCAACCACTTTATTTTATAGATGTAGAAACCGAGACCCAGAGAGGGAAAGAAACTTATCTAAGGGCA